AAACAACGTGCCGTGATTGGTTTCGTCGCTTCAAAAACGGTGATTTCGATGTTGACGACCGTTCGCGTGAAGGAAGGTCCCCAAAAACTTTCGAAGACGTTGAATTGGAGGCATTGCTCGATGAGGATCCGTGCCAAACGCAAGAACAGCTTGCTTCAGCATTAGGAGTTACCCGCCAAACCATTTCCAAGCGATTGCATGCGTTGGGAATGATTCAAAAGCAAGGAACTTGGGTTCCTTATGATTTGAAGCCAAGGGACGTTGAGCGTCGTTTTTTCGCCTGTGAACAACTGCTCCAGCGGCAAAAAAGGAAGGGTTTTCTTCATCGCATCGTGACAGGTGATGAAAAATGGATTCATTACAGCAACCCAAAGAAAAGAAAGTCATGGGGACTGCCCGGTCATGCTTCTACGTCGTCGGCTCGGCCGAATATTCACGCTGCGAAGGTTATGCTGTGTATTTGGTGGGACCAGGTCGGTGTTATTTATTATGAGCTGTTGAAACCGAACGAAACCATCACTGGGGAACGGTATCGAATTCAATTGATGCGATTGAGCCGAGCACTGCGCGAAAAACGGCCACAATACGAGCAGAAGCACGAAAAAGTGATTCTACTGCATGACAACGCTCGGCCTCATGTTGCCAAACCCGTTAAAACCTACTTGGAAACGCTCAAATGGGAAGTCCTACCCCACCCGCCATATTCCCCAGATATTGCGCCGTCCGATTATTACTTGTTCCGTTCGATGGCACATGGTCTGGCTGATCAGCAGTTCCGCTCATATGAAGACATCAAAAAATGGCTTGATTCGTGGATAGCCTCACAAGACGAACGCTTTTACCGTAACGGTATTCGAGCTTTGCCAGAAAGATGGGAAAAAGTTGTAGCTAGCGATGGGCAATACTTTGAATGATTCATTTGTAATCATTTTTTCACAATAAAGTTGCATTTTCATAAAAAAAAACAGCGAGAACTTAGTTGCGCACCTAATAATATGTAAAATATATCGTACAGACATCCTAAAAATGAGTATAAGATATAAATAAAGCATGTACATGGCTAGAGACAGGTATCTTTTTATTAATATTTCGAAAACTATAGGAAATGCACAAAGTGACTATGGAGCATATACATCTAGCTGTTTGTCGTCGGTGTGAGTTTTCCATCCGGTTTAACCGCCGTTATATTAAGATGTGTTCGGACACGTTCGGACCTGTGATTCTTTTGAGAAACGTACCTTTTGATACTTTGATGAGAGCCGCAAAGAAGGTCTGAATCCAAGTAAAATGAACAGAGAGAGAGAGTGAGTGAGTGAGTGAGAGAAAGAGAGAGAGAGTTTTCTTAACCTTAATAGTGGTCAGCTTTGTCGGCTAATATTTCGCTTCGCAGTAGAGAGCGACGAGTTTGTCAGATGAAAAAGTTGTTTTTCATGCAAAAACGCGTTGATTGAATCTACTTTCATCGAAAGGTGAGAGGTGAGAGGCCTAAACTGAATAATTACCGAGAACAAAAATTTTTCTCTTTTAGAAAAGCTAAAAATGTGGCATTGCGACTAATAAAGAAATAACTCCAACACAACTGCAGCTTGCATTGCACGAGGATATCATAATATCTCACGTGAATAAATTAACATTAAATTTATGATTAATAACATTTGCGTTAGTTCATGTAACATTCCTATTATAGGTGATAATTTGTAGTTATTAGATAATATATATAAACATAATATTCATAACAACCTATCAGTAAATATCTGGTAGTTGTAATTCCTAATTGAACAATATAGGTTTTATATAACCTGTATGTTATAATAAACTGAGATATTCCAATTCATCTAAAAAATCTGAAAAAATTGTGAGAATTTTCTGAGATTCTGAGAAATCTTTTCACCAAAGATATATTTATTGTATTTGGTGTAATTCTATTTTGTATAATTTCAGCTATAATATTAATGTTTACATTATATTGATAATTGTTTAATATGTATATAAATTAGTATATCGGTATAAAATTGACTTACTAAACACATTTTGTACTAATTATATATTTATTGATATGCATATTAAGTAAGCAAATTATAAATTTAGTCATTATTATTATCAAAAATATTTTCCCAGATATATCCAGACTATCTACCATAATCATCACTAATATATTTGTAAAATATACGTGCAATATTTTCCGAGGTTTTCCTGTACACGGCAATAATCAGAGATCTCAGGGATATCATACAAATATATTTTGCTACAATATGCGATATCTATACACGTGTTCGTAATTGCGGACATTAGTGTATTCTAGTAATATCTCATATATCCATGAT